GCCCCTGAATGTACGAAAAATCACGTTTTTAGCTTGTGAACACTGTAGAAGTCACAATTGTTATCCGATTTGGTTTAAACTTGAAATGTATGCTTATAACCCAAAGATCTCGGTTCATTTCGATATTCGTGCATATCGGAACGTAACTTCCTGAATTATGGCCCCTGATTGTACGAAAAAAAATGCGTTTTTAGCTTGTGGACCCTATAGAGGTCGTAATTTTTATCCGATTTAAAAAGCCGTTTTATTGTTTAACCCTAATAACGGCTGAGTTCGAATTTCGTGAAAATCGGCCAAAACTGACAGACAAAATGGCCGCCGTTCGTTCTCAAATAGCGTAAAAATATGGTATATCAAGGTTGTGGACCCTATAGAGCTCACAATTTTTATCCGATTTTGTTGAAACTTGAAATGTAAGTTTATAACCCAAAGATTTCGGTCCCTTTCAAAATGCGCGCATATCGGACCGTAACTTACTGACAGATAAAATGGCCGCCTTTCGTTCTCAAATAGCATAAAAAATATGGTATATCAAGGTTGTGGACCCTATAGAGGTCACAATTTTTATCCGATTTCGTTGACACTTGAAATGTAAGTTTATAACCCAAAGATCTCGGCTCCTTTCGATATTCGCGTATATCGGACCGTAACTTCCTGAATTATGGCCCCTGATTGTATGAAAAATCGCGTTTTTAGCTTGTGGACCCTATAGAGGTCATAATTTTTATCCGATTTAAAAAAAAAAAACGTAGTATTATATCACCGTTACAACCTAAGGACGGCAGAGTTCGAATGTCGTGAAAATCGGCCCAAAACTGACAGACAAAATGGCCGCCCCTCGTTCTCAAATTGCGTAAAAATATGGTATATCAAGGTTGTGGACCCTGTAGAGGTCACCGTTTTTATCCGATTTTGTTGAAACTTGAAATGTAAGTTTATAACCCAAAGATCTTGGTTCTTTTCGATATTTGCGCATATCGAATTGTAATTTCCTGAATTATGGCCCTTGATTGTAGGAAAAATCACTTTCGTTTTAGCTTGTTTTCTATCCATCTCTCGAAAATGTGGGCGTATCCTGCGTGGCAGCCGCTGGTTAATTTCGAGCTCATCGGGATATATGAATTCTACATAATCACTAAATTTGGGATTATTCAGTGATAGAACATCATCGATATATCGATAAGTGAAATTAAAATGTCTGACTAATCGTTTATTTGATTTTACGAGTGCCTGTATGTAATAGAGAAACAAATCAGCAAGCAAAGGTGCACAGTTGGTGCCCCATGGGGATACCTACCACTTGCTGATATATTTCCAGTCCAAATTCAACAAAGATATTATCAATTAAAAAATATAACATCTGAATTATCTTGTTGGCGGTGAATTTATTTATGGAATCACTATGGTTATTAACAAAATATGTGGAATTGTAATTAACAACTAAATATTGATATCTAACATTTCCCGATTTAGATGAAAAGACACTGTGAATAATGTCTTTCAACCGAGCTTTTAATTTACTATGGGGAATTTTAGTGCAGTACAAAGTAGAAAAGTCAAACGTTTGTATAGATGAGACTGAAGCAAGTGATCTAGATTGCAAACCATCAAGTAATTCTTTGGAATTTTTTAATATCCAAATTTGATTTAAACCACTACGAGAGTATATTTTGTCAAAGTATTTTTGAATACCCTCTTTCACTGCCGTTAGTATAGATATCAATACTTTTGAAAGTGGTTTTGTGGAACAACGGGATGAACCTGCTATAAAACGGCATCCATAATAAGTTGGAAATTTTGATCGAATGAAAATGGTTGCGGTTCCCGGTATTTGAGTCCTTTAGACAAAATCTCACTTAACTTATTATTCTGGACTATGTTCAAGTGGAATCGAATATAATTTAGAACGGATATGGTGTGGCCCTAGTGGTTCTTGGATAATTTCCAAAAAGGGCATCAAGTGAAATAGTGCTGAGCTTAGGTGGTGTGTAGCGACGATGTCCATGACTGCGTTTTCGACAAAGAAACTTTGGGAATACCGTCATGACAATAACTTTGCTAAACGCAGGGCTAGACAAATTTCCTATACTAGCTACATTGTCATTGCACCCGTTAGGGGTGGCAGTACATAATGTACGTATCCAATATTCCTCTCGGCTTCTGCGAAAGGGAGTACTCAAAGTAGGGCTGTTGGTATGGTGGTAAATTTTCTCTAATATAGACACCCTTATTGATAGTATAGAGTGGCCAGGTTGTTTAAAATGTCTATAAAGAATCTGGTTACTACCCTTATTAATATTAATGCGTAAATGTAAAGGCCTTTTAGTTTCGCTAACATAAACCAGTCCGCAGAGTGCACAACTGCACATTCTATACCGTAGATAATATTGGAGGTTTTACAATTTAGTTTCTCAAACCCACGTGTAAAATATGTTTTCTTAGTTAATGAACTTGTACAAGAATTATAACTATTCAAAATAGGACAGGTTTTACAATTATTAGACATACATTTAGAAATATAACAATTATATTGATCTGGTGAAAAATGCAAAATATCAGTTATGTTAATTTGACAGAACACGGTTGGGTTGAGATTAATGAAGTATCCGAGGAATTTAAAACATTACAGGCACCTGAAAGAAGAATATCTCCCATACTATTACTACTAGTATCTTGGGATATATCACCGATAAACCCCGTGCCCTTGGGGGGTATCATAGCATTTTTTTTTTACCTTGAAACTGCCTCCAAGCCGTATATTTTGGTTATTTGTAACCTCGGGGACATAAAATATCCACCAGCAGAGTAACCCACCCAGTGGTAGAAATAAAATAAAACCAAGCACGAACAATCCAAACCATTAGACAAAATTCTAAGTCCTAAAAGAAACGGTATAGGCAAAATAGTGTAATAAGGCAAAAGAGTGTAATCAGCATATGGACTGTTCACTGTGTACAAAATACACGACAAACAGTGGTAACAGGTGTCCGGAAGAGTAAGCTTACCCTGTCTGGCGCCACACCCGCCATAGCTGCATCCAAACTATTAGACGAAACCTCTGTAAAATAGCGCGATTGGCCAATGAACTATCGGTATGCAAAATGCACGTGATGAACAGTGTTAACGATGTAGTAGACAGACATTATCAGGAAGATAGTATACGCGTCAATTAAATATATCTAGAATAATAGCCGAGAGAGAGAGAGAGAGAGAGAGAGCGAGAGAGATGGGATTTAACGTCCACTCGACACAAACTAGGTCATTTCGGGACTAACATATAGTTTAATTTTATTTCAATAATTCGCTTGCGCATAGGAGTCTTTAGCAGTGGGAGGAAACCGGAGGACCCGGAGAAAACCCACGAGGTTGGACAGGCGACCCTACTCCTTGTCACGTACAACCGGGGATTCGAAACCACGCCAGTCGACTCAATGACAGACTTTATGATGCAACGCGCGCACGCTAACCATTCAGCCATTCAGCCATCCAACCCCCCAATAGCCGAGAAGACATGTTATATTTACCAATCAAGTCAATACGACGGCCATAAAACTTTTTAAAGGGTTTAATAAGTTTAGTTCGCAAGTAACCCTGTAGTTGAAGCTTAGATGACAAATGCCTCGATCTACTTAAAAAAAATCAGAATAAAAGGAACAAGCTCTCGCGTAACGGATTAGTTGAGACACAAACACTCCATAAGCTGGTGATATTGATAACTAACTTAACAAATGATGAATTTAAATTTTTGGGTGAAATCATTTGGCAGATTAATTGGGTATCTCGTCCTGATTTGTGCTATGATGTACTAGATCTTACAACCACATATAGGGGACATTCTAAAAACAAACAAGACAAAATAAGGGCGAGGAATGTAAACCTAACTACCCACAAATAAGTTCATTACAAAATCTCAAAATTGTCACATTCACGGATGCCTCTTACGCTAACATGAGCATTGAGCAGTGGCGGCGGTCTGCCCTCTGTTTGCCCCCCCCCCCCCCAAATAATTAATACAATTTTAAAAAATAAGAAAAAATATTTGTAATATTAAATTAAAGATTAAATCCAACATAGACTTACATGTTGTAGAGTCTGAGTGAGATTTCTTATCGAACCCAGCCTGCTGTAAAACTACTATAAGTAATAACACGTAAATCACGTTGATTTGATTCACCCACACCGTTCGTTAGACATCTCCCTCTCTATTCGTATAAGTTAGTGATTTCGCGACAGACTGCATTTCCGGCAGTCTATTTCTCTAAATATCGTGGCGAAAATATTCACTCACTTTGATTCACTCACTCCGTTCGATTGTTTGACACTTTCCTCTCTGGTCGGATAAACTAGTGATTTTGCAATAGGCGGTGTCTGGAAAGCTCTATTTATCTCGACGATCAGTGACCAGTGGTCAGGTGACTCGTGGTATCTGGTTAGATCTATTTAACTTCAATGCATTTCCGGCAGTCTTTTATTTAAATGTCTCGGGTGGGGGTGGGGGGCATACTCCTGGTCGAAGCTCGCGCCTTTGCCCCCTTAACCTTGAACTTTGCCCCAGCTTTGCCACCTCTAGGAGGTCCACAACCTTGATATACCAGATTTTTTACACTATTTGCGTACAAGTAGCGGCCATCTTGTCCGACAGTTTTGGTCCGATTTTCACGAAATTCGAACTCAACCATCATTACGGTATAATGGTGATATGGAAGTGTGGGCGTATAAAAATGAAGCCAATGTGGCTCAGTGAGTAGGACGTTAGCCCGCTAATCTGGAGGTCCGGTGTTCCATCCCTGCGGTTAGCCGAGAAAGTTCATCGGATGTCCGTGATGGATCTATAGATTTTTTGTTCCCCACCCATATTCTAAGCAACATTTTACATGTCATCCCCTGACAGGTGGAAATTAATAGTACTACTATTTTTCCCGATTAATGCGGGAATTTCTGATCTTTGGTCGACCCACCTAGCGTACAAGCACCTGACATAATATAACAATTATTGTTCATTTGAGTAAAAATATATATTAACATCTTTAAAAACTTTATAAATTATATCGAAAACAGATATTTCGTTGTTGTTTCAGTTTTCATTTTGTAGAATTATATTTCTAGCTATGATAAGGTCCATCATAGGCATACGTTGGTTTGGTCGGGTTCATCTGGTTGGAGTAAACTACTTCAGGGTTAATGTTATGTGGAGTAGATGCCGATCCCAGGGGATGACCATCAACTGTAGATATGCGTGGTTGTATATCACTTCTAGGCAAGGTGTGGGCCCTGTAATAAAATGGGATGTTTTTAAATGCAATGTAATGCTCAAACGGCTTCTTCGATTGATTCTTAATATGTCGACATAATTCATGTTTAAAATGGAATAAAATATAATATTCACTTACATTTTATGTCTGCTCTCTTTACAACAACAGCAATAGCAAATGATTACAGTTATAAATAACAAAGCAATCCCAGATGTTACGCCGATAATCACCTAAAATAGAAAAAAAAAATAATGTTCAGAGGTGTTTTCATTGAATATTATGTACATTTTGAAATATAACTGCAATTCTTGCAATTCATGCAATAGCAATTTACAATTGAATATAGTCTCCATTAATTATAGGAGTATATAGAAAGGTATAATGTATTCTTTTTCGCAAGACACCGCGCAACAGGGTATTTATTGTCGTAGCTGATCGTGGTGACGAAAGCGGGCAGACAATAAAAGCTAACGTGATGACGTCTATAATCAAGTGTTTAGATGACATCTAGAAGTGCGGTTAACTGTTCAGAACAAAACACAACGCACGATCAAATCAGTTTCACATCATGCAATAGACAGTCGATATCTAGTCCTCAAATTCGATGGGAAATAACCTCTCCTACTTTTGGGATTAACCCTTCACCCCGAGATAATTCAAACATATCGGAAACTGATCTCAATGTATGGTGGAATTTCGATTTCTAGACGAGTTTAATCTGTGTCCTCCTGAACATACATGTAGCCGTGGGATTGAATCACACGAACACTTCAGTTGTAGTTTATTTGGCCCACCTGAACAAATATATATGATGCGGTTTGGATCTCTAAATTTGTAGTCATGCAAGAATATTTCATCCACGTTTGCCCCTTGGATACAACCTCAAACTATTAACTATGGTTTGCAAGTAGCCTTAAGAACACAATTGAAGAACTTCTAGGATTTAATCATACTTACCCATAACTGTGTGTCTTGTACGGGTGTCAGATTTTGAATAATTATCGTCAATTTTTCAAAGGTAGAATCATCATCAATCCTTACATGATATGTATAGTCAAGTCCTGTAGATAAATCCTTCTTCACAGTGACCGCACCACCTAAAATATGTCATCAAGAGACCAAAAGACTTTACGATTAACTTGTTCCTGAATCGTAGACCTTGATAAATAAAATCCATATTTTGCCACAGTCGCGTAATGTTAAAATCTTTTATTTTATTATGGAAATTTTGTAAAAAGAATATAAGCTTATAATTATTAAGTATCACACTAAGTTTGTACAGATATGAGTGTTTGAACTTTTGACAACACGTAGCCTAGATTATTTGTTGATTTAAACAATATTCTATTCAAATAAGATGGATATTGTATACATACACTGTCAAAAGGTATAAGGATTCAAAAACAAGCCAAGATTATTTGTTATTGTAACAACGGTACTAGGCAATCGTGACATAATTCTCGATTATCTATTTTGTCGTTAAATTCCTAAATGGCTGCGGTGTTGGGTATAGGCCGACATTGTTAATAAATGTTTAAATAATGATTTATATAATATACAAAGCCAGAAAAAGACCTACAATATGCAGTTTTGGCTCTTACATAATGCGCCTTGAACTATAGTGGCGTAGGGGACATCGACAGTTTAAAAAATGAATCGAAAATTAGATCTGTCATGTTTCTGATTGAAGTCCCACAACCTCAGTTGCAGACTTAATGATATTGGCAAATTGATCAAAATGCCACTTCACCAGAGTCGAACCATACCTATTCAAACCCAGGACATATTATTATAAAGAAAAGATATCATACTTACTAATTTTATCCAGAGAAAATGGAGTTGAAGTGTAAAATGTATCTCCTTCCCAGCTGTAAAAACCCACAGCATCACCATTAGGATCAACAGCGGATACTGTAAATATCTCGTCACCTATTTCGGTGTTTTCAGGAACGGTAACTGTTGCTGGTAAATTAGTGAAGAAAGGTTTGGTTCGGATGTTAAATGTTGCTGTCGTTGATTGAAACCCTGGTTCATTCCCGATTACTGTCAGAGATAACTCACCGGGGATATCTGAAGATTGTGTACCAGAAACAAATTTCACCATTCCAGACTCTATAAGAAACTTAGCTGTGTATTGTCCATCTTGAATGTGAAATGTAATATTATCTGGTTTGTTGTCCATATACTCAGCTAAGCTTTGTATTATAAGGTATCCTCCCTGGAATATAATAATTGATTTATAACAATTTATCATACCAGACTACACAGTATGTCGATGCACATGGAAAGATCCAGCATATTTTACAACACCGTGAAATACTTAGCAAATTTGCTATCAGAATAAGGAAAGACAGCTATTTTTAACATCAAAGAGACGACAACCATGAAATCCATTACTTGTGATGGAGATCTTTTTTACTAATGTATCAATAGAAGAGGCACAACACTGTCAAGATGAAGATTGAGGAACGGGCAGTCAACTTAAACACCACGATTAGAGGACATTCCATCACGAAATTGTTAGAATTATGTGGTAATCAACAAGGTCTATGAACAGAGTCATGGTGTGCCGATGGGTTAACCTATAAGTCCACTTATAAGAGAAATGATTATGACCAATTGTGAATAAAACGCCTTAAAACATCATCAATAAAATCATCAATATGGCTAAAAAAGTGGGTTATATCGTTGCAGTGAGGAACAAACAGGAAGTCCATACACAACTATTAAACGACCTAAACTAAATTTACCCTGGAATTCAGTTTACATTTGAAGTAGAAAACATTTTTAAAAAATCTGTCATTCCTGGGCATCTCAATTCACCGTGGCAATAACGAGATGATATGAAGGTATAAAGAAAACCAACGCACACAAACCAACATATTTACTTTCCATCAGAACATCAAAGAACTACTATAACAGAGATCGTATCTACATTAACCATGAGAGGCTACAATATATGCCAGGAAGACGATTTCGGGGAAGAACTAAAGCATATCAGCGACACGTTAACACACTCAACAGATACCACCAGGACTACGTCACCAAGATCATAATAAATACCATGGACAAATTAGAGAAAAGATAATAACATGAAAACTGATGAGAAAGCCCCAGTACTGATTTGTATACCATTTATAGCACCCACAAGGTATAAAATCAAAAGACTGATATCAATGTTGAAAATACATGTGATATTGAGCAGTGGGATGGAATGGGAGAAAACGAAAATATTAGCGAAAAACATAACAAGAATCCCCAGATAGTTTTGTGGGACGTCATAGAAATCAAGACACAAACTAACACTGAATAAAGACAATGGTCGACATTATTCTAGTGTATGGAGAAACTGTGTATTTGTAACCATTTTTGATCATTGACTGATAAAGATACCTGTAAGAGTAATGAAACGTTTCATGATGGAAGAATACTAGGAGTAGCAAATCCATGTTAATATCAACATGTCATATTGACAACGATTATTCAAATAATATTGCACTACGAACGCGCCTTAGTCGTAAAACACCTGAGACCATAACTAATTTACTTAAACATGCATTATGCAAGAGCTAAATCTGCCTATTGCAGGTCTTTCTTTAGGCCTGAAATGTTATCTAAATTATTAATTAGACATTAATTAACTGGTCCAGGCCTTAATCAACTCTCGATGGCATCAGATTTCTCCGATATTAAATAGATTAGAATGGTTCAGCGATACGTGGATTTAATCAAATATGGAGGACCGAGACTTAGCTTCGATCAACCAGTACGGTGGTTGAAATTATTGCACACGTCTATCAAACCTTCAAAGGCCAATATCTTCGCTTGCAATAGAGTAATTTGAATGAAATTTTCAAATTATTCATTTTACATCTTCTACTTTCGAACTATTATAGCAAGAATGGCTAGTTCTTTATCTAAATCTTACATAATGTATCTTTAAGAACTCTTTCCTATTCCATTGTAAGAAAATCTAACTTTCTGTTCAGTCTGACGCACCTCTTGTTTTGAATATAGTTTAAATAAACGATTATTGCATATGTTTAAAGCAGGGTATTTGATGCAAATAATGCAGCTGTAGGTATGGTTGAATACATAAATTTTAAAAATGATCCCGAAAAATGCTGTGGAAAACCACATTATAAGAATTTTGAAAAAAATAATTTTGTTTCCTTTAATTTATAGCAGTACGCAAACAGGAAATAAACGAAATTAAATTAAATTGTGACTGGGGTTGTTAATTTATAATACTTATAAAAACTAATAAAAGTAAATATATAGTATATGGTTCTTCACTTACCGTTATATCTTTTTTATTAATTAAGATCGTGAATGTTGAGTTTCTAAACACATTAGGTACCCCATCAAAGCTAATCCTCAACATTGTCGGTGCAGATGTGAAATATCCATCAGTAACTGTAAATACCCACTCGAAAGTTTTCACGCCAAGTGTTTGAAAGTCTATTTTATAACCTGGTTTTACATACAGTTCGCCAGCTGAAATTGTATCAAATATTTACTGATTAAAGATATAAAAACCAATGGGTAGCATGGTCCATTCTTTCCGGTCTCCACTGGGTCTATAGGCATATAAACTAAATATATATGAATATAAAATAATATTTTGTGAAATGTTGTAAATGTAATGAAAATGCGATAAAATGTACTAACACGAACTGTTAAAGATGAAAAACTGCCAAAAAGGCCCGGAAGGTGTTGCTGTAAAATTCAAATTATCATCGGAATTTTCATCTGTGGCTGCTACCTTAAATACTAAACCGGAAGCCCCATCTCGAGTCTTTATACTGTCTGGTAAATTCTTTATTACAGGCGCAACCTGCAATTCTAAAAATATTTAGTATTTTAATAACAGTGCCGGACATATGCTTTACAAAACGTAAAGAAAACATTCTATTATTTCAAACCTTTTCCAAATTAAAACAGAACTTATAACATTTTTATTAAACCCTACAACGTAAACTTAAGTCTGTGTACGATCATTCCCCAAAGTTTCAGTTATCTTGGTGGCTTTGCATAAAAGTCGTGTTCTTTCCAAAATATGCTCCAAATGGACTCCGCGGCGTTGGAAGCAAACTTGCATACGTCGCGCAAAATTGTCAATTACTCGAACACATTCCTTTTTGGAGATTTCCCTGATTATCTCAAGGATAATGTGTACCAAAACAAACCTCAAACAATTAGTGAATTGAAGGCAGCAATCGCAGCCAAAATTAGGGAAATACCCAACGAAAAAACGACTATCAATTCAAACCTTTTATAAATTAAAACAGACCCCCCCCCCCCCCAACCATCCCAATTTAATAACTTTCCCACGACGTTTTTCTGTATCAAATACCAGAATGATTTCTTTATTTATTACTTAAGTATATAAGTAGAACAAGAAATAATATGCAGGATTAAAGTAATTGGACAAGACTCAGTAAATGTGGTAATCTGAATCCATAAAAAGGAATTACATTTCATTTGGTCTATTTGGTCTACATTTAATAGACTAGGTTAATAATTCACCACAGTAATTATAGTATAGTAAGGTTACATTGGTCGGCAAACTATGCTCACCAGCCAATAAGCAAGTCAAACAAAGCACTGGCTTATGAATCTAAATTTTTCATAACAAAACACAACACAAGGTATATTTCGTAACACGTAAAGTTACCGGATAATAAAAATCAATTCAAAACAAACTTTATAAGACAGTGGGCATAAAAATTAAAAAATACGTACTCGGTATACACACTCCTTTAATACACCACTGAAATTATACAATAAGATTTTACATATTTATAACACTGCTCACTTTTACTATTAAAAAATTGTTATTAATTGTCATTATTTCCCTTTTCAAAGAAGGATGCTTCCCCTTTATTTCATTTTCATAATAAATAACTTGTTCCATACACATAAAATACTGATATGAGATTGCATTACATTAGATGAAATTGGATCACTCATGCTGTTAACTTACCTACAACTTTGTACTGTAGTTGTTTTCAATATGCGTATCACCATAAGAAACCCCCTCCCCCAAATCATGAATATTCACCACAATTTGGTAGAACATTTGTATTCAAGTCCCCTTCTTTAATTCTAGATCAAACAAACGGAAGTGTGTGTGTGTGAGGGGGGGGGATAAATAGATGGAACTTCAATTGAGGTGTGTTTTTGAGGTCTTGATCTAGAGTCATCTCCATATATTGGAGACGCCATATTTCCCATTAGTCATTAAATGTAAATACTTCTAATAAAATGAAGCATTTACGATGTCACAAATGTGAATAATATATACTAAACAGCAAAAGAAAAGCGTAGGTACGATTTCAAACCAGAGAGGCACTTAATCAAATCATTCTAGAAAACAACTTACTAAATGGATCAAAGCAATTTTTTGTGAACAGTATGTTGACACATTAGTGATTAATTCAGTTCTGGTGTTGTTATGCAAACTGTAGACGTTCACGTCGATGGCGAGGAGTGAGAATCGGTCCACGGTAAAATGTTCTCTCTGGTGTGACGTCGGCGCACTGTATCGGTACTGATGGGTCTTCCGTGTGTTCCCACTGTCTGACGTGCTGTCTCACAACATGGCGATCTTGTCGCCTTGTGGTGGCCCGAAAGCGTTGCTGATGGCTGGAGATGGTCCGAAATTTGACCTGAAAATGTGATTGGCAACGGCTTGGGCAGTGTGGCCAGCGTCGAGTATTCCAGGCGTTTGGTTCCTCTGAGCTGTCGTGAGTGGTGGCATGCTGCTGACGTTGTAGTGTGAATGAGTCAAGCAGGTATGTGGGTGCATTTTATAGGACTCGTCCCGGTGAACAGCACGTGCAGCATGAGTTACATGAAAATCATGGAGAACACATTATCATCTCAGAAGTCGGGTTGCGTTTTTGAGAACATTTCCTGGGTTCAATTCTGTGTTTGGGAAGGAGCCTTATTGCTCAGGTAAAGTTGGAGATGTGGTCACAAATATACAATAAAATCATTTGGCAAGTTTTATGCATGCGTCTATTCAGAGTAACATACCAACCTGACGTTTCTTTTGCTGCTTAGTATACAAACTCAACAGGCACGTTTTTAAAAATGGCACTCCCTAAAGATAAGTAAACGTAATACCTGATTCAATCCACATTCTGTATGTTCCTGGGGCATAATCTCGTGACATTCTTCGTCGTTATCTGGATCTGAGCATAACATCGTGTAGCACTTTGAATACTGTTTGAAAAATTTTAAAAAAATCGCACAATTATACACCAACAGTAGTTCTTCCACGATAGTAATTAGATTATTTTTTAATCAACAGAAGAAAGAGTAATTGGGTTCAGCGATCGCTCACTACGATTGTTTCTGTTTCATATTGATATTAACTGAAGAAAATTACTGGAACCTAACAGGTTCAGATCCACGATATAAATTAATCCGTATGATGGCGCTACAATGTTTCACGTGAAGTAACACTGGCGAAAATCAGTGCGCTCGCCGACATGAATTAAAGTAGTGTAGCGTTGTCATTGTTTTTCTGTTTGAACTTTTGGATCAATATCTTACCATCTAGCTTCCACACATCTACCTTTAGCAGTGGATGCGGCTGGGAAACCCGCAGAAAACCAAGGATGAAAAAGCGTACCCATGAACTACGTGATAAAAGCACAACATGTTTGAAAGAATACTATATTAATCCCGTTCAGAATTCCTTTATTTTTTACCCAAATGAAAACAAGCTAGCCAAAATACACCGTATTTAAGACAAACCTTTAAAGCCCATGTACAATAAGAAGAATTTTTTGTAAAAGCTAGCTGACATTGACCATCATAACTGTAATACTCTCCACCTTTAGAGACGGGAGATAATTCTGTGTAGTTATATGGTTGCCCAACACAGGAGACACTGAAATATATATTATATATCTTTAATATGTTTATGCTGGAAGGCAGATTAAACAAAAATCGCTTTTCGAATTCACGACAATAGCTGATTACGTAATTAAAGAAACCGGATATGACCTAAGTTGTCACAGCTTATGTAAACAAAAGTATGTCGTTATTTTGTCTGCGGGAAAAGGCTACAACAAGCAGTTTTGTTCAGGCAGACATATTTTAAAAAACGAAATGACTAATTGAAAGTAAATGTGTCGGTATGGTCTGGGTTTGTAACAGACTATTTTTTCAAATTGCTGTTTTGGGGAAAAAGGTAAAAGTAGACAAACCCGTGGGTAGTTTCAGATTATAACAATACATTAAAATGTACTTTTGTTTACGCTTGAATACCTTTCTAAGATTTTCTTTAATTTGGTAATTGAACAAGGCGAGAATCTCCAATGGTTGCGACCTATTGTATCAGTAGTTGCATAACCCTCAGCCGTATTCATCACGTAAGCAAGTTCATCTGAACAACCCTCTATAGAGTCGTGTTCTAAACCAATACTGAAAAACATATAACGCGGAATTATATAGGTGTCCGTGTTAAGATTGAAAACTGATGTAAATCATAACTTAGGCAACATAATGTAGGAATAATCAAAAAGTTAATAAGCCATACATGTACAGACAAATCCATGCAAGAAATACTACACGCCACGCACTATGACTGAAGATAATAAGTCTTCCATGGGACGCGAATTTTGGGATTGCATGTTTTTCAATTTCGCAAACATGTTTTTTTAGACAACCAAATGAATGTTTTATCTATAATAAATTCATAGAAAGTTATTGAAGCAGTTTTATACTCTCTGACTGACGTGTTGCCTAAGATGATAATAGTAAAATATGTTCAATGTCGTTTAGTTCTCAAGGTGTGAACAGATAAAGTCCACGTAGCTGCCCAAACTATTCCATACACCCAATGGATTATTATAAATCATTTCAAATTATTATGCCTACTGTCGAGTTGGCTTAAAATTAAATATAATCTAACCCTTCGGAGTTTCGATGGGGCGTTGTTCATCGTGTTTCTCCTGGCCAATCCATAAATTGGGCAATGTGCATGTTTTAATGATCTGTATTTATTAACCTTTACTACTTGTGTTCACTTACCTATGACCTAACTCATGGGCAGCCACGTTACCAACCCGTGATTGGTGATCATCAAACACCATAGAAACAGACGCAGTTGTAGCGTTGCATAAGTCACCAATTGCTCCCGCATAACCTGCCAATATGGATAGTAAATCGACTTTAGAAAAATAAAGAACCATGGAAATTCATATATCTGCCAATGGGATACCAAAGTTTATATAAAGATCCTACAGCACAGCAGCTTTGTCTCCAAAACGATTGCCATAGACAGCAGCTTATCCAAAAGGAAAACTTGGATGTTGTCCAAATTTGATAACGACCCGTCCTCTATACTTTCAGGAAATCTGATCGTTGTCGTGTTATCTGGCTTGAAAAAAAATCCGTTAAAAACTGTAGCCTCTATCGTTTCACAGATTTTTCAGAACACTGTAACTGCCTAACGAAATTTCGCGGTACGCTGAATAAAATGCTCTGATGACCCCAATGCTTCACAATAAATTTGAAATAAACATTCTATACCAATTGTTGACGGACCGAATGAATGACCGACGGACAGGGTGACGACGTAATACGCGAACACTGATATACATGCGTATAAAATATCATAAATAAAATAATTAGTATAACCCCTTTATTCTTGGTGGTTGTGCATGCGCTGGAAATGAATGTAAATTTGCAACTAACCAAACCTACCTAATAGACCGTCATCTATTGTGTATCTGCAATAAAGGAACAAATTTTAAGACCGTATACGCCTAAGTTGTAATAAATAGAGGATATTTGTCGTTTTGTCGTGAATAACATATTTTATTTCATCGAGAAGCAAGAAAACTTATATTTTCACGAATGCGTAGCATTCGTAAAAATATAAACGTTTTCTTGCTTAGAAATGAAATAAAATATGTTATTCACGACAAAACGACAAATGTTCTATTTATTTTATGATTTTACAATCATTTTAGGTAAAAACAACTAGCCAGTGGAATAACACTTTTAGTTCACTGATAAAACGCGGTATTCGACTACTGATCATAAAATAAAGCGAAATATTACTCCAAGTATAAAATGGTAATTATTGCTTCAAATGAAACTTGTTATGTAAATGAAACTCGTAGGTTTCGAGAGCTACACCGTATCTATGCAGTCATAGAGATATATAAAAGTATTTTGATTTGTCCAAAAATGTGACGTTGTTTTAGACAGTTTACAGGATTCCGCACAATGAAATATACCCTAGGGCCTCTTAATTTATATTTGATAATGCAGACTGCAGTATGGTGACATAGGGGAATTATAATTTTCAACGATTGTGTGATAGCTTGGACATGCACATGGTCGTAAAATGAAGAACGTATGATCGCAGTGATCAGCTCGTGAGACGTTTGTAAACCCAGCTCTTTAAATCAGTTGCCTTAAACAGTATCTAAAACTAGGAATTAAGAACTGAAATGTTTTCCATAATTCGGTGAAACATTTTATAAAAAAAAACAAATCCTGCTTTATTGCACATTTTTAACAAAGATTCGTCCATTACCAACCGGTATTCTTTAAACAACCACAATTACATAACGGAATACTGACCCGGTGAAAAACATGTAATGGTCGCTTTTGGGTATGTTGATTCCAGTAGGGGGGTCATCTACCCAATAAGCTGACTGGAGTACGTAATCATCTGAATCTACACGAGTATCATCGGCGATAGGATTAGCGAACTCCGAGTCTTTACTTTGCTGCAAATACAGTTGGGATATGTTAAATTTTAAATGACATTTAGAAATTGAAATTTGACTAAAAGACGTTCTATGGTATTAACTTGTTTACTTTGAAAATACGCAGTTTCGTTTGCAAATAAACATCCTTTGTATTTTCAAATTTAAAAAGTTAGATTTGAAGGTCCTTGTCTAATTAGGCATAAAGAAAGCCGGCCCCTGTGCTATAGAATAGATGCCGTAATGATGAACATGAAATGGTAATACTCAATACTATATTGGTACATATTGCGAGATTATTGTAAGTGGTGCAGAGTGAAGGGCCTGGCAAAGGGGAGTGTCTGTCCTTCGGATGGGACAAACAATCAGTAAGAATTTGATATTAGAGTAGGTCGTAGCGTGACATTTCCCTCCAATAGTAGCAGCCTTACGCTCGTTTTCATTAGCCAACTATGCAAGAAAGCATTCAAACATTAAAGAATCTCCTACCATGTACAATGTATGGTTTATCAATCAAATAGACCCATCCCTCCCCTATATTGTATATAATCTAGTTTAATTCAAATGGAAACCAATCATTTATAGTAACAATCAAATAGAAACACCCACCCAGATTCAAAATGAAATAAGTCACCAAATCAAATAGAAAGTGCCCACGAACCGGGTATCGATCAAATTGAAACCATCGAGTATGTATCAGAGAAAAACATCCACTCAGAAGCAATGAAAGCCACTGCCAGAAACATTTTGAAAAAAGCCAATCTGATGTCCTTCTCTAGACTAAAATAAAATCCAGATTTTAGTAATTTGATTGGATAATATTAGATTGATTTTAGTGCCTTGTCAATCAAAATTGAAGTATCTACTAAAATTGGATTTTATCTTTAGTTAAGACTTCGAGAAACAGGGCCCTGTCCGATTATCTTGGGGATCACGCCAGCGCTAATATAGAATTATTCTGTATTCAGCACTGAGAATGAGGAAAAAAGGACGAAAAATACCTCTATAATTATAAGATTGTGAACAACAATCTCAATATTTAACAAATTGTTGGTTTCAATAATGGTTTCATATCGTATTTTAATCTGAAAATGAAATAATTCAATTAATCAGCCCATTAAAATGTATTTCTAATAATCATGTATAATAAATTTAACAATAAGGTAATAATATATCCCTTCAAAGAAATGACATGTTTTGAAGCACCAAAGTTGCAAACACCTAATGTTGGTGAATCAGTATCTCTCTACTTGGCGTAGTGTTCATGTTCATGAGTTAAATACTGAATGTAAAGGCCTGTACACACCAAGTATTATTTACCATGGGCAATCAGTCCCACAGTTTGTTACACCGTATAGTCGATTACTATGTCCTCTACCAACAGACAATCCATAGCCGACAAACCATCTGGATTAATAAAATGCAATCTCCTATAAAGAAGGTCGAGATCACTATGTATAGTTTGTATAGACCAATTAGTGCATCGTTACTGGACACGATGGGGAATACCTGCGCATGAATTGTGGTACGAGAATTGGTGTTCGCAGAGTCAAAATGATCAGTTGTAACTAATCTTTCGTGTGCGAAGGCCTCTTTGATATGGTTTGATAATAAAATTGTTGATTTTTGTGTTGATTTGTTTTGTGAAATGACCATTTATCTTTGTTTAAAATTCTAAGCCAATGTGGCGATATAATCTGAACACAAGAAGCCAACAATGAAAACGACCTTTGTTTATCCTCTCAAAACAAAAATCAATCATATAGCCTACAACTTGTTCCATAATAACAAATAAGATCAACCCAATTCAATAAATCATTTTGATCTGAATCAAAGAGGTTTGGCTGCTTTAGGCTGTAATAAAGACTTACTTGTTCTGCTATAAAAGCGAAGTAAACAGACATTTCAGCAAGTGTTAATATTCGGTCGTTGTTGTGTCTACTCATAAACCTGTATAATAAACATAACCAGGATCAGGGCTGGATTAACCATTAGACAAGATAAGCACGTGCTTAAGGCATCATGGCTATGGGGGCACCACAGAATGTCTGCTTTGTTAGATGTCAAATTTAAAATATTTACTTTAAAAATTCATTAAAAACGTTCAATTAGTTTTCATTGTTTTTGTCTTTTCATACTGTTACCTTTTTTGTCGCAATTAATAATGACGTGTATAAAATCCCAGACAAACTCTAATCACGTGCTTGGTGGTTGTTTGTGGTTTATTATTGTTTTTAATTTGAATTACATATATCGGAGTACCAAACTCTTATTCCGGTATTTTCGGCTATCATCTTAAAGTTTTCAATTGCAAAATTCAGGGTATTAAAGGGCATTTAAAAGGATGTGTAATACAAGAGAGAGAGAGAGAGAGAGAGAGAGAGAGATAGAGAGAGAGATGGGGTTTAACGTCCACTTGACACAAACTAGGTCATTTCGGGACTAACATATGGTTTAAATTTATTTCAATAATTCGTTTGCGCGTAGGGGTCTTTAGCAGTGGGAGGAAACCGGAGGACCCGGAGAAAACCCACGAGGTTGGACAGGCGACCCTACTCCTTGTCACGTACAACCGGGGATTCGAAACTACGCCAGTTGACTCAATGACAGATGTGTAATACCTTGCAAGCTACAATACTGTGAAAGTTGAATTTCTAAAAGAAAAACCAATCTATAATGATTCTATTCTGTTCTGTATTTACACAGATATGAGGAACTGATATTCTATCTACATTAGGCATTTTCTGCAGACGATATAAACTGGAAATGGTGAAATAAAGCCAGTACAATCTTCGCGAGAATCCTTGACTCCATTTGGGGAGAATATCTATATTGATATTTTGAATGTATTTTCTTAATAAAATGTTAAAGAATCAATTTTAACGTGGATTAAGTCTTGAAAATTAAATATTTTCCAGAAAGTTGCTATTGACGACCAGCGTTTTTAAGAAACATGGTTTGATTGGTATAATTACAGACAGCATTGCCAGGAATTAATTTGTTGTAAAGGCTAGCCGTATACAGTTCAGATATTCTCTGTAAGTTACCTTTTCATATAGTTTACGCCCCCCCCCCTCCACAATTTTATTGAAATATATTTCAATAAATGATCAAGAAGCCCACAGGTATGCATGAATATTTTATTTCAAAGAAACGTAAACTTACACTTCAAAATCTTTAGCATCTGCTACAAAGCAAACTTCTATGATAAAATGTTGAAGAATGGACCGTTTCTTACGGTGAGCTGAATCATATGATAAAACATTAATATAACTAGTTTGATAACTGGCGGCAAAGAATCGCCCACCACTACTATCATTCTACTACTACTACCACTACTACTACTACTATTGATATAGCCGACAATTAATTTATGTTTCCTAAGAAACTTGAAAGACGGGCTAGTCATACTTGGGAGATAATTCCAGCATTTATTATTATTATTATTATTATTATTTATTATTATTATTTACATTGCTTATATAGCGCTTATCTAAAACATTAGTCTAAGCGCTTTACAATGCATAAAATCACATAAAATCCACAACAAAAAATGCATATATATATATATATATATATATATATATATATACATATATATATATATAAAAATTCATATATAAGAATTGTGAAAAAAAAAAAAAATATTCATTAAAAATAATTTAAAATTATTAAAAGATTAATAAATAAATATGATAAATAAAAATATACACAAATAGCGTTCATTTATTGACTATTTGAAAAAGCCTGTCTGAATAAAAAAGTCTTAAGGTTTTTCTTGAAAGCATTCACAGATTTAATGTTTCGTAGTGTGTTTGGTAAGTCATTCCACAAAATGGCGGCCGCTCTATCAAACCGTCTCTCTCCGTATGTTTTTGTTCTAACTGCTGGTTTGACTAGAAGCATGTTGTTTTCTGATCGAAGAGTTCTTGTTGGCTTGTAAATGTTAACAAGTTATAGAGGAAATGAAATTGGGTTTAACGTCCTACCTTTCTGTGCCAACCGGGCTAATGAAGAAGGACATACGCCATGTGGTGTGCTTTGAACGACTAGACTCTTTTCTTTACTACGCCTCTGTCCTGCACCACAGGGAAACCCACGCTGTAAAATCACGAGGTTCTTTCTCGGCAAACACCGGAATCGAACCTGGAACCTCTTGGCATGTGAGCCAGGGCCTTACATAATGGGCCACCCTGGATCGATCACAACAGAAGATAGGATAGGGCGGACGAAAAAGAATTCGCGACCCCAATACCTCGCTATTTATGCAGCATCAAGCAATTAATCGCGGAGCAAACTACTTACAAATTGGAGGTCCGTCTTAACTGGAATTTTCAGTCACAGAGACCAATATTTACTATGAGGGTGTACTCAAGGGCTGGATTAACATATTAGTAAAAATAGCATATTATGCACAAGTGCCCCTGGCAAATGTTTGCAGTTGGGTTTAGTATTTTAGCACAGTATTTAATAGAAGTGTAGAAGTTGTTGTGTGAGAAGTATGTTAGAGGGGGGGGGGGGGGGTGCTACTATATAATATTATTAGAATACGTTTTCGAAATCTTTCCAGGGGCAAAATGGAGTTTACACTAACTTAATCCAACCTGTATGCACTCCTCTGCACCAATATTACATTTCATTATTGAAACTAGTCGACATAAATGAGTTCTAATCCACTTCACAATCAAATAAATCAATTATGTACGAAATAATTTATGTTTTAGACAACGTAGTACAGTTGTGTTTTAGATTCTATTTCGAATTTGTAATAAATATATAATAAACAAAACAGTCAGTGTGTTCATATTCCCATGCCCTCTTGATCAGAATAAATTCTAGTAAGCCACCTACAATAATAGTGTGGGTGTGAAATTGTTATGAATGAATGACACCACATAAATATCAATGAAGCTACTAAAATTTATTATGCCATCTTTTAAGGAAACGAAATATATAGAAATATATCAAAAACATCGTTACACACAGATAAAGTTGACTTTCTACGTTCGGGAACTATTCCTACGTCTTACCGCTTGATTTTTTATTTTCTCCAAGATGGTCAATAATAACAGGTTCTTCATGTTCAATAATATGATTAATGAATTTGCCAGTTTTGTTCTGATTCCCTTCATCTGGTTTTATGTGAATTACTCGATAATTTAATTCTAAATTACCCACCTTTAAAAATAAAATAAAATACAATCATTCCATTATAAATACATCGGCAATACCCCCTTGTTTGTTGGTCTGTAATTTCGACCTTTTCTTTACGGAAAATGTCTGCTGTGATGAAAGGTCACGGGTAAGAAGCAATGCAGACAGTGACGATTCCCTCATATTCTTCATTAAACTTCGACTGCCAATGGGTTTTTACGTCTAATCCAGACTGTCTACGTGGAATCTATGTATATTGTTTGTACCATCAAACGGATTAGATCAACACTTCACATTAAAATTTATACATGGAATAACAATTATTGGTTTCTAAACATGCAACGTTTGGGTTGTATACTGTCTTCTTTATCAGTCACGCAACTCGAAAGACTTAAACCATGCGTAATTTCTATTTTAAACGTTTATATAAGTTGTCTTTTGAAATTATAGTCATATACTTAAAGCGAGAATTTCATATTTTCTAAGAAAGTCAAAACATAATTATTTCATGTTTTTGGCTCAATAGGTTATCAACTCACTATTATACGACCATGGGCATTATTTCCCACCCTTAAAAATCATTGACACAGGAAATAATAACACAATTACCTCCCCTGTTTTCCTATTGCCTCCATGCATTAGCCATCTTCAAACGTTGGAATTTGAAGTTGAAAATGATATTTTTGCCAAATTCTCAGCTGGCAATAGTGAATTATAGGATTAATAGGATTATTCTTTAACAAGGTAGAACTGTTTATGGATACCATCTATTTTAAGCTTTATTTTTAAAAAATTTAAAAATATAACTTAATAATTTGAAATTGCAACTTTAAAATTAATATCATTTTACCAGTTTGTATTTATCGCCCACTTTCTCTACAATAAATGCTGCTTTTCGACTTCTATCTGTATAAACTGCCTTGTTCTATAAAATATACATTAATAGATATATAAACTGCCTTTTCTATAAAATATACATTATATATAGTTATATAAACTGACTTATATAAAATATAAATTACAAATAGTTATGATTTGATCTATAAAATATAAATTACAAATGATGATAAATTGACTGGTTCTATAAAATATGTTCTATAACATAATCTATAAGTAGTTTTATGTCCTGTTCTATAAAATATAAATGGTTATGGACTTTTTTTTATTTCAAACCCAAAAATAAGCTTATACGCATTCTGGGTGCCACCCACTATATAGTCAAATTTGATATTTGTTTATTTTTTGCAATGTCTATATTCTGTCTTGTCCACAGGTTTATCCTGTAGATTTTTGTTTTGCGTGTAGTGTGGCCCTCCTACACTTACTATTAGATACCCATAGCGGTTTAATGCTTGAACACGACAATAAGAAACATAATTACCTCATGTTCGCCATACACTGCATTTGTGGCACCATTATGTATGGTATACGTATTCAGCTGTGGAATTTTTGTCAATCGTAGTATTCCAGTTTCGAATCCGGTCTCTAATTGAAACACTAATATTTCTGGCCAAAAAGACGACCCACTTTTAACTTGTTTATGATCTTTGCTCCCATGATGATTTTCCAACAAATTTGTTAATTTCACGCTTTCTAAAATTACAGAAATGGCAAATTCAGCACTTACAATGTTAACTAATGACAAAAAAAAAATCTCATTTTTGAACCCTTCCTTACCTCTAAAAGTACATTGTTAAATATTTTCCTCATATCTGTATTGCTGTTCAGAGAATACTCTTCGAAACGTCGCCTTAAAATATACTAGTAGCTGTTTTCCATAGGTATGTGTTTTTGTTTTTACTCTATCCAGTTACTAAATGCCATTTAAAGATTGTTAAATTTCTTGTGTTCGTTTTGCTTCTTTGCTAAGAAATAAATATTTTTTCATGGAACTGCATTTTTAGGCCTGTAGCCAAAATTTCTAGCTTGCTTGGCAACACAATTCCGCTACAAGGTCCTCCCTATCAAATAAACTGTACATTTCTAGAAGCTTATAACACAAATCCAGAGATTTCCAAGCAAAATGTTTGCAATAACTCGATTCACGGCCAGATGAAAATTGTGATAATTGTCAAGTAATTGCTATAATTATACTAACAATTGTGAAGTTTAAATAAAATTAAATATTGTCGAAACACTCAATACCCCATCATCCTCGGCAAAGAGTATGGTATTGGTTAAATTTTGATGAGCATACGCGATACATTTTACATCGTTATATGTGTGTGTGTGGGGGGGGGGGGGCATTGTATATGTGCAGCTAGTATTCCTGCTTTCCATGCAAGTGTCATGCAGCCGCGGTGATCCCCAGTAAGGGGCTGGCTCACTTACCTGCCGGTCCAATCTTTGATCCTGGTCCGACGTGGTTTCCCCTTGTCCGTAACTCACTAATCAGGAGGTCCGGGGTTTGATCCCTGTGTTGACCTAGACAGTTCCCCAAACTTTCCAGCGTTGTTTCCCGTTGTCAGTGGTACATACGGGGGGGGGGGGGCGAGGGCTGTCTAGTTATTCGGATGGAATATATAAAACTGAGGTCCCATGCACACGTTGGCGTGCACGTAAATGAACTCGAAATTCGAAATAAAAAGTAGACCGTAATGTCGCTGTTTGGTCCAAATCCTCCCTATAGCCTAATGTATGGCGTATGTGGTTTAAACATATTTTATTGCAAAAAACTTACAAAGGGATTAGGACAATTTATAAAAATTATGAACCTTCTCCCGGGGAATAGAATAATATAATATTATATAATATATGATGGCATAACAAACATTTAACATACACTAAATACAGCTATATACACATATTTATAATTATCCATCATCTATTTATTGTTTTGATATAGATAAGATCATTATCATTTTACTAAATTAAGCATCTAATATAAACTATAATCATAAATGTGTGTTTATCTAAATAAGTGATAAATATGAGTGTGTGATTGTGAGGATGTACATTAATCAATAAAGAATTAAAACCAAGTTTATAATTTACTATTAAAACGTTTTGTGCTGGAAATATAACGTTGAACGGCAAGAAATATTTTCTTGTTTAAAATGTTGGGTAAAACAGGGCTACCAGAGGGAAGAATATTAAGATAATTAGTATCGGACATTAGCATATCTCTTTGAGCGGTATAAATAGGACATTTAAAAAAGTAATGGTATATATTTTCCACTGACATTTTACAAGGACATAGAGGAGTTTCAGTAATGTTAGGTGAATGACGAAGTCGGTTATGAAGAATTGTTAGTTTACGTATGCCAGTGTTTCTATAATGAGGTGTAGGAAATTTAATTGAAATAGACTTTTTGAAATTGAGATATGAATTTGCATTCTTTTTATCAGTTAATAGTCTATTATATTCAGAAATAGTTTTAGGAAAAAAGGATTGTTTTTTAAGACTTAGTCTACAAAAAGGAATCGGTATATTATCTTGCTTTCTTAGATTATATGGTATATTATTGATAGGAGGAACTAAATCCGATAAGTATGAGGGACAATGGCCATTTATTATTTTCCAGAGTAAACAAAGTCTGCGGATTTTCCTGCGATCTGATAGTTTGGGCCACGCAGTTTCGAAATATAAAGCAGACCTCGGTGTGTAAATTGTGCATCCGATGACAATAAATTCTTGCTGCCTTAAGTTGAAATAATTCTAATTTATAAATATTGAAATTTGCACAGGAATCCCAAACTTTAGATGCATATTCTAAAATGGGTCTAATAAAGCATTTATACAACTTATTTAAGGAGGATTGTGATAAAATATATTTCACTTTTCTTAAATGAAATAATTCTAAAGAGGCTCGTTTTAGCATGTTATCGATATGAAAATTCCACTTTGCATCACTTTGAAAAAGTACCCCTAAATGTTTATGAGAATATGAATTAACTAGAAAAGTTTTATGAAATTTAATATTTAATGGATAGTAGATGCCTTTGTTTGTAAATTTAAGTAAGGATGTTTTTTCAGGATTAAAATTAATCAACCATTTCTTTGACCATGTATACAAGATATCTAGATCTGAATTTAAGTTTTTTTCAATGTTGTTGATAGATATATCAGTTGGAATTAGAGATGTGTCTTCTGCAAATAATCTAGACGTGCTCATTAGACCTTCATATATGTCATTTATATAGATAAGAAAAAGTAGCGGACCAAGTACAGAACCTTGTGGGGGCCCGGCATTGGGAAATCTAATACACGATTGACAGTTTTCAAGTATGACTTGTTGTTTTCTATTTGTTATGTAATTGGAAACTAGCTCAAGTAATTCACCTTTTATTCCATAATTAGACATTTTATGCAGTAAACCGTTATGTGAGACTTTGTCAAAGGCTTTCGAAATATCACAAAATATTATTGCTGTAATTTGTTTAAATTTAAATATTTATTAGGAATTTAGCCTCAAATCTAATCTGAACTAAAGGTTTACAGATATATTAGCAGAAATACTGTTGTGGGAGAACTCTGAATAGACGCATTGCACAAGACTTGCCAAATGTGTTTATTGTATATTTGTGACCACATCTCCAACTTTACCTGAGCAATAAGGCTCCTTCCCAAACACAGAATTGAACCCAGGAAATGTTCTCAAAAACGCAACCTGACTTCTGAAATGGTAATGTGTTCTCCATGATTTTTATGTAACTCATGCTGCACCCCCACACCTGGGCCCCATTCCTAGAAAATTCTTAAGCACGTTCTTATGCTTAGATTTTAAGTAGACTTTGCATTTAAGTAAACTTAATTTATTTTCTGTTCCCAGAAAATACATAAGAACGTTCTTGTGTTTAGATTTTATGTAGACTTCAGTGTAAGCACAAGCACGTTATTGTGTGTTCCAAGAAAAAACCTAAGCACAACTTCGTTCTTAAACATTGTCAATCTAAGCACAAGTCCCAAGCAAGGTATACGGCTTGCTTACCAACCTTAAGCCTGTTCCTGCTTCAAACAAGATGGCATTTCCTATATCTTTTGATACCAAAGAGACAATTGAAAGACAGAGAAAATACTTTAGAAACATATTGTTATATATAAGGGGGGGGGGGTAGATTTAATTATTGTTATTATTTCATTATCACTGATCACTGGTAATGCCGTGTACCATATGTTAAGAATCAATAGTTACATCTTCACATTGTTTTATTATTGCATTTGTTAAGTATTTATCGTTGGTATTATTACGATATTAGTGTTGCCATTGTTGAAAGGTTTAATTGTTACTATAAATAGAACGAGCCGTACGCTCTCATTGTTTACAATTTTGTTTTGCCTAATGTAGCCTACTTACGTTGACGACAGCAAGTCGTATCTTAGATTATAGAACATCGGTACTTAGAGCCGGATTTGTAAGGCATGTCATGATGTATTACTATGCGACTGGATATAAGGGGACGATAGCAATTCAAATAATATCCACATATGAATGTATTGTTAGCGTGGGATGCTGTGTGCATTCGAGTCAGACGAGACGGGCGTAGTAATATGGTTGCTAGGGATAGTTAGTGATAGTAACATGATCATTCTCACGTTAATTTAATGGTGTATTATAATAAATTCATGACCTTACAATGCTTGTTACTTTTGTTACTTACTTTGTACATCTCATTATTATATTAGATCCATTAAGTATTTTGAAGTAGGCCTACTTGCTGTTCTTAGGTAGTTCCAATTCTTTAGGACCTCGTCGCTGTAAGCTAAGACTTACGCACGATTCATGGTCTAGGTGTTTCTTCATTAATGTATTTGCGCTGGTCTAATTGTACATTACTTTGATTTTAGATTCAGAATAGGTTACTTACATGTAATGCAATGATTAATTATGAACATCTTTTATTAATTTTCATATTATTGTAAAACGTTAACTTGTCAGGAAAACGTAGTCCTTGTCAGGCAGAATGCGAGCCTGTGGTTGGTCAATAGCTCTGCCTGCAGCCTATAAAAGGACGTCATGTCGTCGATGTCGGCAGCCTAGGGTAAGGACCTCTTAAAGCTGGCCTGACAAAAGGAATTATGACGGCGCTACCGACCATCCTGGTAGAACCGTCTCCCCTTGACGTTTTTGTATGATCATAACGTAGTTGAGCCTAAGCAATCCGTCAGGCATGGCGGGTTTTCAGGTTGTCAGGGCGAACTTGTCAGGACTTACAGCGTCAATTGTCAGGCTGAACATTGTCAGGCATGACACTGGACATTAGAATAATTAATGACGTTATGGCTATCTCCCACCCCCTACAAGACCCTTCTTATAACCAACACTAAGGTTACCTGATTAATGTAAATAATGGTCGTGTATTTATCTCATGGTTGTATTGAATAAATCGTATAAAAATGGTGAATATGGTGTTACTTCTAAACAGCGCAGGCCAAACTGCTACAATGGTGTCAGAAGTGGGATGTCGAAGATATAATGGCATCCAGTGATACGAACCAACGCCGGCTTTTGTCAGTGGTGGTGATGTAAATAAAATTTTGTGTAAATATGTTACAATATGTTACAGGGGAGAAGAATAATAACTAAATAATACAAAGTATATTAAACGATGGCTGAGACGCCCGATGAAGAGATAGTTTTTAAAACTCAACC